TGATCCAACCCAGTGTGCTGGCGTTTTCCAGTAAAATCTATTTTGAATGAGAAAATGTTTACTATCATTTATTAAACTGTTGACTTGAGATTCATTGTTTGGAGTTATTCTTTAAAAAGAAAGTGGTCAGGGATGAAAATGCAGCTGACATCTTGAAATATAAAACTCAGTATAAAGAAGACATGGTAAATAGTTAGTTTACAAATCTTAAGTAATAAAAACCCTCAGTTATTTCCTAAGGGGTTTAATGTACAGTCAGATGTTCATGCAGACCTATCGCCACATCTCAATAGATCTTGATCTATTGTGGCCTCAGTGGTTTGGTGCTAAATAAAGTTAATTATTTATTAACCCTAGCTGAAGGATTAGAAAAAACTCACCCATTTCTGCCAATACTGGTCTTGCAAAAACAAACAAATAAACCAACAAAAAAGAAGAAACAAATACAGTTTAAAAAGAAGAAATAAGGAAAAAACAAACAAATTCCAAGACAGATGTGAAAATGAAACAAAGGCAGTGGTTAGTGTGGCTGGGTAAAACCACAGAGACGCACACTCTCACAGACTATCGGCCATATTGTGACAAATAGCCTGACACTATTGTTCTGGTATCTTTTATTTTGTACCATGTGATTTCTTTATGCACAAGGAAAGCATGCAACAAAGAGGAAAGAGTTTATTGTTTTGTTTGTCATTGGAGAACAGAAAAATAAAAGTGATGATAGAGTAGATTTTCCTTCTCCATTTCGCTCATTTGCCTCCTTAATTGTCGCAGTTGAAGCATTTCAAAACTAAGAACACTTAAAGGACACTAGGGCTGTAGCGAAGCCTCGACGAAGTCGACGGCTCGATTCTAAAAATTTGTCGACGTCAGATAGGGTTGTCACGGTATGAAAATTTAACCTCACGGTTATTGTGACCAAAATTATCACGGTTTTCGGTATTATCGCGGTATTTTTTAAGCGGTGTTGCATATGTTCAGAAAGCATTGATAGTCCTGTTCTACACAAACTGAAATAGTTCTGAAAAGGTTTAACAGTGTTTATTAAACCTAAAATAACACAAAGCCTTAGCAAAAGTGCAACTTTTCACAAGGAACAAATAGCTTATTTTTCTGGAACATGTTACAGTAGTCAGTGCAGGTTTAAATTATACAAATCCAAACATTCAAAACATAAACAATATGTAAACAAATCAAAGAAACACCACTTGTTTTCTCATATACTTGTTTTCTTCATTATCAAAATGAAAATCTAAAACTCCAGTCCACACTTGACTTGAGCACTGTACAAGTCAACCTTAAAAAATATGTATTTAAAACAAACAGCCACTTTAAACAAATGACTAAAATAACTACTACACTATGTAATCAAATCCAAATGTTCAAGTATAAATGGCATTGAACAAGTAAACAAATCAATGACAAGGAACTAATTGTATATTTCTCTTCATCATCACCAAATAAGATGCTTCATCCAGCAACAGGGTGTCCGTGACACGGTTTAAATGCTGGCAGAGGACGCTGCGGCTGCAGTATATAGTGACTCGTAGCATTCTCCCTCAACCAAAAGTCCTCACGTCATGCATTTCAGCTAAAATGCTAATGTTATCTTACCTTGCACTGGATGTGGAGACGTGGGTGATCGTCACGCAGATGTGCCATGAGATTTGAAGTGTTGCTGCCTTCTGCAGACACTTGTTTCCTGCACGTTCTGCAAACGGGATAGCAGTCTTCTATTAACTGTCCCTCAGCATTTTTCAGAAATCCCAAATATGCCCATACTTCCGAATAGTCTTCTTTGAGGGCTGATGGATGTCCTGGGCGCTGCCGTCGCCTCCTTCGGCCATTATTTCAGCTTCAAAGTTTTGGTGCCGTTGCAAACTAAAAAGTGCGTGTGCGCACCGCTGGAACTTCAGCTGAAGCGACGGTGGCTGGTAAGGGTCATCGCGCCGAAACCGCGGCCACGGTAAACCCACCGAGATAATATAGTTTTTTAAAAACTGGACGGTTATTTTTATTGTCAACTTTTTTACCGGGGTTTACCGCTATACCGGTTACCGTGACAACCCTAACGTCAGATCCGGAAGTCGACGCACCGCGCCCACTTGTTGCATCCCCAGGAGTTTGTAAATAGAGGAGGAATCTGCCTGTTCTTCCTCTAGTTCGCCCTCTTCTCCGCCTTAACTAACATCTCCGCCAAATACCGAAGACCCGGAACAACGTCCGTCCCCTACTAGATTATTTTCCTGTTTTGCCCCTTCGTCTCCCGGCAACGGACAACAACTTCCGGGGTCAGATGCGCTGCTTCGTGTCTACCGCAGATGTAGAAAATCACCGGGAGCGCTTCTCCCTTAATAAAGGAGCTTCTTTCAGACATGAGGAGAGCTGTTTTGGTGGTAGCAGTCTCTCCTCCGTGCTGGTCTGTTTGCTGCTGGGTGTTTTTGGTTTATTTAAACTTGGTAACTTGAACTTAATGTTGGTAAAGCTACTGTTAGCATCTTCGCTAACAGCTTCTTGCGTTGGGATAAGCTGTTACGTTTTGGTTTAGAGTTCATCTTTTTTGTGGTGTAGATCTCCCTTTTATTACATTTAGAGTGTTGTGGGTTTTCGGTTTAGTGTAAAATACCACCTGAGTTTGGTTTAACCCGTAAGACCACTCGCCTCACGCACATAAGTGACCAAAACAAAGCAGCATGGAGACACTCCATCTTCTACCACCTCTCAGGCAGCAGCCTGCACTCCCAAGTTCTACACGTCATCAGAACATAACCAACCAACACAATAAACGCAGTGTTATACAAAATGGAAGGCCTGTAGTGTTTATTCTCTTACAGTAAGAATTTATCAATTTTTTTTGAGGAATTTATTTGAGATTTTCTGGTTTTTGTTAATTGTGCAATAGAAAAATAATCATTAGATTAATTTTCTAAATAGTCATTAGAATAGTCGACTATTCAATAAAATAATCGTCAGAATAACCGTTTTAAAAATAATCGTTTACCCCCAGCCCTAAAGGACACAGAGTTTCAGAGTGCGTTTTGAGTTGAATCAAAAGAGGATACGAGATGTGAAACACAATCGTAGAGGAAGTCAGGTCTCTGTCGCACACAGCAACCTGCACAGAAGTCTTGTTAGGAGATGGTTTGTTTTAGAGTGTGTGAGCAGACTCTAACTGAGAGGCACCTCCAGTACTCCTTCCTTCTCGTCAGTTTCATTCTCTTGCCTAGGCAACAGAATGCTCCATTGTGAAGGAAGCACAGAGACCTCGTTATTGGTAGGTCTGAGTGGGAGGGAGAGAGGGGGAGACCAGCAGAAGTGGTAGAGAAGTAAAAGATGCAAAAAAGTAAAATAGTCTTATTAAAAAAACGAAAAGGGGATTGACAGTCAGTCGCTGAGTTGCTGGTTACATTTCCATATTGATTTGAACAAAGAAGCATCAAATCAAATCAAAGATAATTTATTAATCCCAGAGGGAAATTAGAGTTTCAGTACACACAATTCAGAGATCAGACATACATGGGCAAGACACATGACAAGAATTGGTGACTGTGGTCATTCGCAACCCTGAGTCGCACTACCTTAATAGAGAAAAGAGGGTTACATGATGATTGATTCAGGTGGAGGGAAAAAAAGGCACTTCAGAGTTACCCTCCACCAGGAGGACAGCTTTGCTCTGCAAAAAAACACCTCAAACAGATATGCAACAGACTTCAGACAACACAACAAAGGTGTCCACTAGGTGGGGTGGTGGGTTGGGACTATCCCCACTTCAGTTCCTGCAGCCACGATAAGCAGCACATGTCACCTCAGTGTGGATAGGGAAGGAGCATTGACGGTTGGAGGGTTGCAGTGACCCTGGAACGTTTCAGCGGCCTTCCCGCAGTCCCGCCCAGGATGGGAAAGGAGACAGTTGAGTTGCCATAGCGACGGCACCTTCCACATATCTTCTGAGGGGGGAGTTTTCATTAGAGCCTTGCAGGCTCAAGGGTGCCAAATTCTGATTAGAAATTGTTTTGGGGCCAGACAGAGATAATTTCCCCTCTGTCTTACATTTTGTTGGTCTTCAACCTCTCAAAATCCCAATAATGGACATTAATCTATCCCAGTCCGTGCTGATTCGTCCACTCTCTCCTTGATGGCATCCATCTTTTGAGCCAATGAATGAATCTCGGCCAAAGTTCCAAGCTTACGATTCATCTTGACAATTATGTGAGTCTGTGAATTCACAGCGCGGTGCAATCCATCTCTGAGCTCAGATCAGGCCAATATTCCTTGACAGCTCGTTAATTTTCCGGTAAGCCAGGTAGCCTCCAAGGCCAATGAGCAGGAAACCTGACACCAACACCACGAATATCCACATGTCTTCAGAGTCCTCCACAGACAGCTGAGATAAACAAATCAAGTTCAACTGTTTCCAGGAGTCCATGATGTGTCCAGCTGGGTCTGTCCCGGCGGGTCATCCGGGAGCCCCTTCTCCCGTTCTCATCGTAGAAATTTTTTTTATCAATCGCGTTGAGAGACCAACTGACGAGGTCCATTTTAGTGAATTTCAGTTTCCAGTTTCCAGAAAAATGCAAAAGCAGCAGTGCACCCAGCACACATAGACAGACAAAGGTCCTTGAGGATAAGATATGGAGGACAGGAGGAAAAAAGCGTCTGCACCCTCCAAGAGCCGTAAGAAGAATGCCATAATGACCTTTTTGTTATTAACTTCATTTTATTGCACACATCGATTTAACACATCTGGCTTCCTAAATTTTTCACAAAGATGGGTTCTGAGTTTAGCTTAGTGCATTAAAGTGACAATGTGTATCTTTCCTGGCGATAGGAGGCAGTACATACCTAAATTATTGCAAGCAAGCGGTATTATTGTGTTTGAGTAAGACCTTACCAATGGATGGCCATCAGGGTCAAAAATTCCTGGGAGCGCGATTTTCGAATGAGTACTTTGTGAGATCATTCAATCTCCTGCAAATAACAAGCACGTCAGACTACTGGCAATGAGCAAAGAGGTAAATGTGTAAAAAAACATTCATGGATTGTGAAAGTTTTATAACCGCTTGTTACAAATCAGTAAATGCATTTTGTCCTCACAGGCTCTCATAGAAGGAAATATGATGTCGTCCAGAGACTTAAGGTGCGTTCGAATCCGTGGGCAGGATGCTTATGAGTATGGGTCCTCGCCGGTCTAGCAAGGCCGGGTCCTTGCTCGACTGCTAAGACCGGAACCCAGCGGCTCTGAATTCGGACAGTCTAACCTTCACCTCTACGGTGGCTCGGACAGTCTAGCCTTCACCTCTACGGTGGCTCGGACAGTCTAGCCTTCACCTCTACGGTGGCCCGTAGGTCCCGTCACAGCCGTGGTGGCAGCTACACGCAAAGGAAAAATGCTAAAGCTAGCGAAAATCGAGCAGGAATATTAAGGAGCAACAGCAGCTTCACGTAGGGTTGTCACGGTAACCGGTATAGCGGTAAACCCCGGTAAAAAAGTTGACAATAAAAATAACCGTCCAGTTTTTAAAAAACTAAATTATCTCGGTGGGTTTACCGTGGCTGCGGTTTAGGCGCGGTGACCCTCACCAGCCACCGTCGCTTCTGTTGAAGATCCCGCGCGCCGCACACGCACTTTTTAGTTTGCACGGAAGCTGAAATAATGGCCGAAGGAGGAGACCGCAGCGCCCAGGAAATCCATCAGCCCTCAAAGAAAACTAAATCAGAAGTATGGGCATATTTTGGATTTCTGAAGAATGCCGAGGGACAGTTAATAGAAGACGGCTATCCCGTTTGCAGAACGTGCAGGAAACAAGTGTCTGCAAAAGGCAGCAACACTTCTAATCTAATGGCACATCTGCGTGACCATCACCCACGTCTCTACAGCCAGTGCAAGGTAAGTCAACATTAGCATTTTAGCTTAAATGCATGACGTGAGGACTTTTGGCTGAGGGAGAATGCAACGAGTCACTATAGACTGCAGCCGCAGCGTCCTCTGCCAGCATTTAAACCGTGTCACGGACACCCCCATATTAAAATGATGTTATGCATTATGGCTCCCATGGCGCAGATGAGTTGGTCGCCACTGCTCACCCTATTATTATTAATTTAATAATGGTTACTGCTTGATGACATTTACCCTAATCTGCAATGATATGATATATCATATTAACTTGAAGGACACAAACCGAGGACAATAATATTTTCCTGATATAGTTTTTTTTGTAGTTGTCTGAAACTGTAACACATTTCTGGCACTATAATTAGTACATTTAATACCCTCGAAGTGATCAACAACGCATAGTTATAATGAAATATTGGAATTAATGGGAAATATGCCTTGAACTTCCTTTAAAATGCCCTGTGAGATAATACATTTTTTGCCAATCCTTTTCTTTGGAGTTAGCAAAAAAAAAAAAAAGGTATAGGCAAACACATCGTATGTATATTGATATGAATAGTTGAATAATGATAATGATTCAAAACAATGACATGGATATTTTTTTAATATATTTTATTTTTGTTTACAGAGAGGAGCAGTGGGACAGACAGCGAGGCAACGGAGTACCGCTACTGGATCATCAGTGACATAGACACTTGTGCAAGCATTCCAAAAACAGACCGATTACGTGCCTGCATCCCAAAAGGCTCAAGAACTGACTGCAGCCATCACCTATTTAATAGCAAAAGACATGATGCCTTTCCGGACAGTCGAGAGACCTGGCTTTCTGAGGATGATGAAGGTTGCCGTACCTCATTACAAAGTGCCTACACGCAATTATTTTTCTAAGACTGAAATCCCAAAAATGTACAACGCAGTCAAAGCTGATGTTAAGAAGAGTTTGGCTCAGGGTGAATTCTTTGCTGCCACTACTGACTTCTGGACCAGTGAAAGAGGGGGTGGTCTACCATACATCAGCTTTACAGTTCATTATCTCACCCCAGACTGGCAACTGGAATCACACTGCTTAGAAACTCAGTTTTTTCCAGAAGTTCACGCTGCTCAAAATATTGCAGAGTTTTTTGAAAATATGTTGGAGGAGTGGGAGATAAACAAGACAGATCTGGTCTCCATAACCACAGATAATGCAGCCAACATGACCAAAGCCTTTGAAGAGTTTCCAGATGTGTGGCTTGGATGCTTCGGTCACAATTTGAACCTGGCCATCTCAAAGGCTCTGAAAATACAGAGTGTTGAAACAGCAGTAAGGACCTGTCGTCATCTTGTCCAAGGCTTCTCACGGAGCTGGAAGAGAAAGAGAGGACTGAGAGAAAAGCAAGCTGCCCTCACCTTGCCACCGCTGGCTCTCATCCATGACGTTGTGACCCGATGGGGATCGACATACAAGATGCTTGAGCGGTTTATCAGCCAGCAGCAGGCAGTCTGTGCTACACTGGCTGCAGAAAGAGGAGCTTTGCATCTGATGCCCAAGGACACTGACATAATTGTCATGGAGCAAGTCTGCCAGCTCCTTGAACCACTAAGCAAGTTTACAGATGCACTTTGCTCAGAGACACGAGTGACTTTATCAGCCATTAAGCCAGTCCTTGACCACATCACTGGTGATGTCCTGGAGGAAAATGAAGAGGAACCAGCCCTGACCAAGCAGATGAAACAGGTAATGAGAGAAGACCTAAACAACCGGTACACAGAGAAAGCAAAAGATGTCATGCAGATGGCTTGTTTCATTGACCCCAGGTTCAAGAATAACTTCTTAGATGCCCCTGTGGATGATGTAGTTGACCGCTGTGTTCAGGAGGCCTTGAAGCTGACCCCTGTACAAGTCAGGCAGGAACCACAAAGCACCAGCAGTAACTCTACAGCAGCAGCAGGAGGGAAAGGCCTTGCTGGGTTACTAAAAAAGATTACCTCAACAAGGCAGCAGCGATCTGAAGAGGGTTCATGTCCAGCCACCCCAGAAGATAAAGTGAAGAAGGAAGTCAAAGTCTACATGTCTCTGCCATCCATTCCAGCTGATGATGATCCACTGGTGTGGTGGAGGGGCCATGCATCAGAGCTGCCTCATCTTGCCAGGCTGGCAAAAAAGCTTTTGTGTATCCCAGCAACTAGTGTTCCATCAGAGAGAATATTCAGTGCCAGCGGGCACATTCTTTCCTCTCTTAGATCACATCTTAAACCAGAAAAGGTTAATATGTTGACATTTTTGCATTTCAACCTGAAGTAAATGGTCATGCATACAGTCATGATGCTGGTTGCTGGATGAAGCATCTTACTTGTTGATGAAGGAAATATACAATTAGTTCCTTGTCATTGATTTGTTTACTTTTTCAATGCCATTTATACTTGAACATTTGGATTTGATTACATAGTGTAGTAGTTATTTTAGTAATTTGTTTAAAGTGGCTATTTATTTTAAATACATATTTTTTTTAAGGTTGACTTGTACAGTGCTCAAGTCAAGTGTGGACTGGAGTTTTAGATTTTCATTTTGATAATGAAGAAAACAAGTGGTGTTTCTTTGATTTGTTTACATATTGTTTATGTTTTGAATGTTTGGATTTGTATAATTTAAACCTGCACTACTGTAACATGTTCCAGAAAAAGAAGCTATTTGTTCCTTGTGAAAAGTTGCACTTTTGCTAAGGCTTTGTGTTTTTTTAGGTTTAATAAACACTGTTAAACCTTTTCAAAACTATTTCAGTTTGTGTAGAATAGGACTATCAATGCTTTCTGAACATATGCAACACCGTTTAAAAAATACCGCGATAATACCGAAAACCGTGATAATTTTGGCCACAATAACCGTGAGGTTAAATTTTCATACCGTGACAACCCTAGCTTCACGTCCATCAGCAGTGTTTGTTCACAACCGTTTTCAGGTAAAGTAATTTTGTTTATTCTAGAAGCTTTCAGGACTTACATGTTAACTTCAGATCGTTTCATGTATGTTTAAGCTACAGAATGAACTTGTTAAACGTACAGCGCATTACTACAGAGTATTAACATGTAGGTAATTAATATAAACCAAATGCATTATAAATGTTGAATGCAGTAGGATGTTTTCTAATGTAAATTGGACCTTAGAACTACTTATTTTGCATCAAATGGGAGTAAAATGCTTTAAAAACAGGCTTTTTAATAAAATGGCATTGAAGTCTTTTCAACGTGCATTTGTTTATTCATCTTAAGCCTAATAATGATTAGATCTGTCTTAAAAATGTAAATTCTCTGTAGTTTTAATTTAACTATTTCCTGCTGCTTTTCTTTAAACTGAACAGAGCCAGTGTACTGCAGGTTATATGTTTTGTTTTACATTTTTCAATAAAAACCTCTTTTTTTTAATCTATTACAGGTCAGCATGCACTGTGCTGCACATCTGCATCTGTGCTGGTGAAGTTGTGGGTCTGGAGGATGAGCGTGAGGAAGATGTGTGTGGAGGAGGCCTGTGATGCTCTGTCCTGCAGGAGGTACCAGCAAACCACCACTACTGTCATTTATGTAGGAACCTCTATTAAAAACAACACTGTGGTAGGGCTGTCGCGGTAACCGCAAAAATGAAATATCGCAATATGAAGAAGCCCACCGCGCTGCATCATGGGCCACCGCGATTACTGAACTTGGTTCAACTCAATGATGCATGTTGAGAAGGATGGCTGCACTGGTATCAACACGAAACGTTACTTCGCTCCTTTGGGAGCACTTTGGTTTTCAGTACGTCAGCTGCTGCGCAGCCAGAGTCCTTGGCCGAGACAGAGCTGCCACCAGCGGCAAAAAAAAAAAAAAAAAAAAAAAAACGCTCGGAGACCTGCTGAAGTCCCGGACAAGCACTGCTTCTGCAACCGTCCCGAAGAGAGTTTGAGCCGAGCTGGAGCTCACTCGCTACCTGCAGGAGGAATGCATCCACCCTAAAGAAACCCCCCTGACATGGTGGAGCAACAACCGGGAGAGATTCCCTTTGCTTGCCAGAGTCGCACGCAAGTATGTGTGCGTTAGTGCAACGAGCGCACCATCCGAGAGGGTTTTCAGTGTTGCTGGAAATGTTGCCACCCCTCTCAGATCCTCTCTCAAACCGTATATGGTTAACATGCTGGTTTTCCTTGTAGGTAACAAGGACGTGACCGAGCTATAAATCACCGTCATTCGTGTGTGTGAAAGTGAAATGATAGTGCGCCCGCCCCCCGCCCCCCCCCCCGGCGCGCGCGCGCCCGGTACATGTAATTTTTTATGCTTGATTTTAAACAACTAAACAAAATGGGGACTTGCTTATTATTTGTTAGATGCTGCAGCCAAATCTGCATTTATAAGTTTAACCTTCTCCTGAATTTTGTTGTTTTTAAGTTCAGTCGGACTCCGACTGTCGGAGAAACAAACGTTACTGCGATCTGTGTTGTTACTGCCCTTTGATCTGCATTCAGTAAAGTGTTATAAAAGAAGGCACGGCAATTTTTAACCTTTTTTAAATGTGTAAGCATTATGTTTAGATAGTACTGCAATAAAAAAAGGGCTGCAATAATATCGCACACCGCAATATTAAGCCACCCTGAATCACCGCAGGGGGAATTCCTCAACCGCGACAGCCCTACACTGTGGTTATATTTGCTGAAGAGTCACAATTGTTATACCAGTGGATCCATAAACCATCTCCTCATTTCATATTTCTGAATACGTCTTAGAGATGCAACAGCCGTCGTCTGAGCCAGCCGTCCCTGTAGATGGACGATGGAGTGGACAGTGAGAGAAAGCGTCCCAAAGCTCTCTCTCAGCAGACCATCCTGTATGATGTTCCTCTGACCAGAAACGTCCAGCCACGGGTCTGCTCCAGCCCTCCATCCACTTCTGGATCCTCCTGCAGCAGATCCAGCTGCACTGTTAAAGACTTCCTGCTCACTCAGTTTAAATAAATGATCCAGGAAGAGTCACTCAGGTTAATCCTGCTTTAACTGTACATAACTGGTCCATACTGGTTTTGATCTGTAAATAAGTGTAACGTATTATAAATAATCTTGTCTCCTTACCATCTTTTCATTTTCTGTTCATGTAACATGTTCAAAAACATCTGTAATAATAAAACTGTTGATAAAATCAATGACCAGAAAGAGTTATCGTTAGTATTTGTTTTAATAAACGTTTTAAAATATCAAACAGCTAAATAACATTAACATGATAACAGTTGAAGGCCTTTCTCCCGGGAGGACCACCAGCTAAAGCCTCTCCTGACCCTGGACACCTGCAGCCCTAAACAGAGAAAATCAGAGACCACGGGTGACTAAAAGGCAATAAACACATTTTTACATTTATCCACGAGAAGAGAAAAAATTATATTCTTCACACAAACAATTTTTACTTCATTAAAACGTGTCAGCTGTCTAAATCCCTGAATGTAAAACTACTTTTCACAGCAGAATACAGGATGAACTTCTGTGGTTGTGTGTGTAACAGCTTCACTCTTCACCTCTAAGCTTCACTCTTCACCTCTAAGCTTAATAAAAACACTTCTTTGCTCTGTTGTCCTTAAGACAAATGATAAGCTTAATTTGCTAAAGAAACACAAACACTATTTTAATTGTTCTTTAACACGTAAACTGTCAGAATGTAAAACTGCTTTTCACAGCAGAACACAGAAGAACTACTGTACTCATGTGCAGACAGCTTCACTCGTCAACTCTAAGCTTAATAAAAATGCTCTGTTGTCCCTAAAACAAATGACGTTTCATTTGCCACACACACACACACACACACACACACACACACACACACACACACACACACACACACACACACATGAATAACTAAGGGACCCGCAATACAAACTCGCTCTGGCTGATATCTGCCTAAAATGTAATTTAAAAAACAAATATACAAACAAAAAATGTCTATAAACAGAACCGCTTTAAGCTTTTTAGTTTTCTACAGCTAGTTTTTAAACAAACTTACGTTTAAAACTTCGTAGCTCTCCCCCTCTCCCCTTCATAGCTTTCCTGTTGAAAATCCACAGCCGGCGCACAAAACATGCTGGGATAGCCTTGTTCTGTGAGGATACCACAGACCCATCCTTGAAATGTGTGTGGCAATACGGGAGTGGTCTATGACCTGTTGACGCCAGGTATGGCAATTGTACCTGCGCGAGTGCAATTTTGTTAACAACGCCACCTTGGGAATTTCCCCCAAGGAATCAAAGCATGTAGATTCATTCCACTTCATTCAGACAGAGACGTGGTTTCAGAAGTTACAATTCATGTATTTTATTTCATTGAAAATAACTGCTTAAAAGACATTTTAAGAACTGGCCATGTAAAATATCATAAAAATGCTAAAATTAATGACAACAGGAACAGAACCAATGGATTTAAACCAAACAAAAAGCAGGACTGAGGCTAGTGATGGAGGCAGGTGACTCGGGGCAGAGAAGCCCCACCCAGCAAAAATAAGAGAAAATATAAAGAATTCACCCCCGGCAGTGAGCGTTCATACCAACGTGAGAACCCAGCACCACCACATTCGCACACGGGACCACCACCTCCGAGGCCACACCCCACACTTCCTGCCTCAGCCTGCACAAAGAAAACAAAATTAAAAACTGTATAAAATCGGTACGATATAGATCAGCTGTTCTTCCTCCTGGACTCCAGCCATGAGCCAGGGGAACTTCCTTCGACCAGCTGATTTAAAACGTAGTAAAGGAAACAAGACGAAACAGCGGTGCCTCCGGCCGGACCACGGAGGAATCGGTCCTCCCGCTAGTAACGCCTGAACAGAAGGGAACTCTCTGCCCAGAAGCAACGAGGATTCAGTAGGCAAGCGATGACATCACACCCAACACTGACACAAATGCCCAAGCACGGTTGAAGCAGAGCCGATCGCACCATAAACGCAGCCTGAGGACACGGGCTGGCAGCACCAAAACGCAGCGGCATAATGGGACCAGCTGTTTCCCGAACCTACTTCCTTACCGGAAGAGCTCCCCTTTTATAGCAGCAGCGCCCTCCTACGTACGGAGGGCGTACTGCTCTAGACCAATAAAATTGGAGCATGCATTTCATAATGCTACATGTGGGTGGAGCGAGGACACATTTGAGGACGCGAGAATGAGTATTTTTGGATTTCTGACAGTACTCGTTGCTGTGCTGTGACGTCATCGACCTCAAAATGCGCTCTTACGAGCATCCTTCCCATGGATTCGGACACACCCTTAGACCCACTCCTATGTATTTTAGACCCAATTTT